TAGGCGAAATCAGTGAAAACTGTCGTAACTTACACTGCACTAAAATCATCACAATTTACTTTGATTAATGCGACTAGGACCCCTGATAATTTGCGTATATATTTAAAAGAGGAAAATCGTGGATAGTTTGTTAAAGTATTGTTCATGTTGTTGAAATAGTTAAATGATTTCAAGCATTCAGCAGTTAAAATAAGGTTTTTCGTCAGAAAATATTTTTACATTGTTTCATATTTGTGGGAGTTCTGTGTCGCCAAACTCGTGACAACTCGTCTATTTTTTGCTGCAAGATTTGGTCAGCTGTCGATTAACTGTTGTCACTATGTTACGTTTAGATTTTGTATTTCTTTCAGGACAGATTATTACGTAATTATTTATTCTTTAAAATTCCGCTTATATAGTTGACTTCATCTTCTTTGTCACGCCAGTCCGGTAACAAAATTAAAATTAATTCAACGATAAAAAAAAAATCGACAATTAGTTGTATAATGCAAATTATAGATATCTTGCGAGTTCTTGTGTGATAACGCTCTATCAAGCCCTGTAATTTTCATAGAAGGTTTCAATATTGGTTTGAACTCTTGTTGAAGGAAGCGGTTGTTCATAGCCAGCCATTTCTTCTAATACATTTTCGTATGTCGTTTCAACAGTTTGATGGTTGGAAGTTGTTGCTTCTGAAGAATGAAAACATTATACTAAAAGTATAAACAGAAAAGTGTTAGTTTATAATTGTGTCAATGTATTAGGTTAGTATGACTATTTGTCGGACGTACTTTTAATGGATCTAAATTTATAATCCAGGAATTTGGTATTTGGTTCATTATTTGTTGTTGAGGAATCTAGACAGATAATGTTCAAGGAGCTATTTCAGCTAGTTTCTGTTTCATTTATCTTTGAAACCCACACTGATTGTTCAATACCGTTGTTTTACCACTGTGTTTCAGTTTATGATAAGCATGCGAACTGAAATTTTTTATTGTTCATTTATAATTTAAATAGTGTCTCGCAGTTAAAAACCAAGCCGAATACTGTTCATAAATTTTGCAGAGTGTAATTTCAATTTTACCTTGATCCGATATGGTTTCGTAGTTACGAATTTTTATGGCTTCGTTTTGTTCCATTTCCTCTATCTTGAGCTTCTGTTTACGTATGATCCATCCAGTGATGCCGAGGAACAACAGTGGGATAATAAAACCAATCAGAAAACTCGGGAAGTTGAAAGTAAAAGATTTCTTTTCTGAACAAAAATTCAAATTTAAGCTTTCGAATAATTTCAAAATATAACTTTTATTATCTAATCATCTATATAAATTGGAAAATAAATATTTCATTTCTAACTATTTGTGATAATTTTTTTCCAATTCAATCTTGAATTGATTAAACATAGTAATATAAAGCGACTTTTTTCCAATGGCGAGAAAAAAGAATAAATAATTCCGAATGTAATTTAAGTTAGTCCAACTCGATGTAGAAAAGACATAACTAATTGACAACTGTGACGTTACCTGTTCCCAAGGTTATCTGCGAACTTCGTTTGAGGTAAATCTCTTTTTCGGATGGCGTTGCAGAAACGATCGAAATGCTAGAATAAAAGTTTAAAAACTTTTTACTTTATGGTACAATTATATTTTTGTTATTTTTTTACAAGGAATTCCATAAGTACTGCGAATACCGTTTTGGCCTAATGCACGCTTTTTAAACATTATATAGATTCTCATTACAAAGTAATTTTATAATATACTAACTTAATACACATATTTTTCTGAAGTTTTTTTCATCTTAAACAATTCCAAAACATGACACCAACATAGTCAAGTAATCTGGCTGAAACATCGTTTTCATCAATCCAACAAAATTATTGTATTATAATTGTAATATAATATATGTATTTCCATATACGCACTATATCAAATTATTTCTGCCTACACAAAGTCTTCTAATCATAATCACAATTAATACAAAACTGCGATTACGGCTTCAAATACGTAATATATATATACATGAATTCGAGACAGAATGTTCGATTGTTTTCAACTAAACGCAGATAATGTCAACTATCAACTAACTAATAAATGTCGCAAGATTTTGCGGTTTGATTGTTTTGAAATATAGATTTGTTAAGGAAAAATAATGATTCGGATATGGGCTTAAAATGGCAACTCAGACAAAATCAAGTCAAATAATATATATTAAACGAAGAACCTGTACAATTTTTCTTTATTCAACTTCCGATTTATTCCGATAAATAAAAAATCGGTTTCCATCGCCTCAGCTGTCTCTTCAAATCCTGCAATGTCACATTGAGTTACTGACTCGTCTCCGAGTGTAACGGTTAAAGTATTTTCTTTCATGCTAAAAAATAATTATATATTATTTACCACATTCGGAAATCTACTAATCCTTTTGACTTGTATAATGAATGCAAAATCTATTGAATCATCCGAAACATATAATAAAGTTTTCCTCTTGTGAGAAATCACTACGAAAGGTCAATGCTATCATTTGATCAATTAACAGAATTCTAGTCCCATCTCCCGTAAGATACCAATGAAATTGCAGCTAATCGGCAACTTTGTAGTAAAAGTTTAGGGCTGGTGTGACGCCACGTCACTGCCACTAAATTTTTCCCGGCAACAAATATCACCCCATCTGCAACAATTTAACAAAACGATCCCTTTGTAAAGTTTGTGTTCATCTGGTGTATACCATAAGCCGAGATACAAAGTCTTGATCCAGGCAAAGAGCTTGGTCAATTTTCTCTGTTCCTGAAGTATGTCTTGAAACTTTATTTACAAATTTCAAAATATGGATTTCTCCGGTATATGTTATTCAAGTCGACATTCCTGATTTCCAAATAAAAAATTTCAACCATAACGGAAAAGGGTTGCAAAATAACTTGGAGTGTAATTTGAGTCCAAACTTCCAATTTCTTTTTCCTAATAAACAAGATAAGTTTTTTTCTAAATATACAACAATATAGCATTCTGTCCGTAACTGATATGAATTTAGTGTGAATAGATATGAAAGTCTCGAATATTTGTGACAGCATTTGCCGATATCAAATTGAAATTATTCATCAAAAAAAAATGAATAACTCAGGTAAATAAAATCGTGGACTATTAAATGGAAATATTTTTGCATTAAATTTACCTCGCAACCTCAATTGCCAGGGCAATGTATTTTTTTCCATCAGCTGTGCTGTTGAAAGTAATCAAATCATCAATTGTAAATTCAGTGATTGTTTCAGACTCGTCCATGTCAACAAGTACGAATATGCAACTGCAAAGGAAAGTGTATCCAACCCACTTTTGTGCCCAATTTGAAATACCAAGTTCGAGATTTGCTTTTATATGTCGTAGTTGGTCAAATTCATTTGTCCTTTTATAGTTGTCTATCACATCATCCGAAACTTCAGAATTCAGGAAATTTTTGAAAATCAGATATTTTGGTAAAAATGGCCGAATGAGATAATTTGGTTAGTGAAAGAATGCGTGATAACATAACTAATCTGCAGTGCGCTAGTCTTACAGGTCTTACAAAATACCAGTGATTAAAATACTTGAGAAGGCAAAAATGATAGTGTTGTACATGTGCATTGTCCTGTACTATTTTTGTGTTAACGAATAAAAAGGTATTAGTCCTATAAAATCTAATTTTGCTATCAAACTTTTGCTGTGTAATTTTGATATACTGAAAAATACATTTTTTTTATTCGTTTACGCCATATTTTTTTCAGCAAAATCGATACCCTCAGCTCTCATGACTTTCGTTTCCATATATTTGAGCAATGCTCTTTTGTTTGACAAGCTTTAGATCTCACCTAATAAGACCATTACTTTCATCAGGCATTTGTATCGTAATATTTGTTTCGCTACCGTTGCTGATCCCGTAATCTCCAAGAATCTTAGGGGGGTGAACCATTGTTGGAGCTGAAAGTGAATAATTGTCAAGGTTAAAATTTGTTCAAGGAAAATAAATATAAAAATACAACGAGCTATATTGTACAGGAATCTATCATTAAATATACATTTGAATGATGTTTTATGATAGTGGAATATTTGTATAGTATTGTGATGGTAGTATACTTGCTTGCAAGTTAGGTTTACGTTCACAAAACTAAACTAACTTAATTTACATTATTAAAGAACTGAATCATGATTGCTGGTAGGACTTTTCGTTGTTGCTATAGATTATAATGGATTATTGTGGGCTATCAAAATATTATATTGCAGAATTATGAGAAGACTGTCATAAGACACTCAGTGTATATTGAACACGATAAACACAATCATAATCACAGAAATAGAGAGAGGAAACGATAGCGACTCTCTTTACCTTTTGAACTTCCACTACATGAACCACTCACTCTCAAAGGTTTACTCGATCCGGCGCAATTGATTATTGCCACGGACGCAGAGTATTCCCGATTTGGCTTTGGTTGAAACTGATACTCAGTTGCGGATGTTAAGTTTGATATGTTTGAGTCTACCTTTTGTTTTCGAGAAGACCGCGACGAAACCAGAGTTGAATTCAAAACCAATTCCTGAAACATGATCAATGTATTAAATAAAGCCTCGTATACTCGACAAAACTAATATTTTGTTCCTATTGGACAAAAAAAATCATACATTACGTTTTAGTTTTGAAGTATAGTGTAGTGTAGAAAATATAGATGCTCCACTATTTTTCATTTTGCAATTTTTCATGTTTCAAGCCTCAGCAATATTTTGTCAAATAATCCTATTTTAGATGTGTTTTAAGGTTTTGTTTCTTATCCCACATAGAAACTTGAATAGTAGTCAACCAATTTGAAATTGCCAATTTATTACATTTCGGTTGAACGTTGATTGCGTTTACACTTCTCAACTACACTTTACACATTTTTGTATTTAACGTAAGCTAATTTCTGAACTCTGTTAGAATATGGGTCTTAGTAATAAATAGCTCGTTTGTTGCACCAAAACAGAGAATAAATAAATAATAAAAGTGAATTACGGACTTACCACTGTATACAATTTTATGCTTTCTTCATTAATCAGATCCCAGGATATAACGCAGGTTTCATTTTCCTCAATTTGTTTAAAGGAAACATATTTTGCGCTCAGAGTTTTTCCACCTGTTTTTACTTCACGCCATATGTTCACCATTTGTGTACAAACATCGCTTGATAAGCATGCTCTAATCTGAACAAAAACATAATCTTATTTTATCACTTGGCTAAGTGCATAAAACATTATTTACAGGATGAAAGCATTACATAGCAGCGTTATAATATTTTAGACTGGAGTAAAATATTGGAAATATTTTTGATACTTTAAAAACGTTTTATTGTCTAATTTGATACGAAATGCGCGTATAGATTTCGGGAAAAATATTTCGTTGAAATCGAAAAAATCAAAATTTTAGTAGTTGAAAATAAAAACTTCTATCAACATCAATTGTTTTTACGTTCTTGCATTTCATATTTTCGCGGCTTTTCTTGGAACAACTGTTTTGCTCCCAATTCTACTAATTCAGAAAAATTTGCCACTCGGGTTTTCTTCTAAATTTGCTATTGGCATTGTTTCGCATGATTCAACGTTTGTGTCCACATGTTGAGTCATTTCTCTCTTGTTATTGAGAAAGCTAGTCCAATTGGGTGGTTATCTATATAAACAAGTTAAATATTTCTTACCCTTATTTCATAAGTTGTATCCGAATCTAAATTGTTTATTAATGTCGACTGTGTCTGCAGTTTCTGTGGTGTAACCCATTTTACTTCGTGCCATCGTTCTCCTACTAAAATTCTAAAAAAATATAATCGTATTGCTTAAAGAGTAACATGAAATTATAAAAAGTAAACGTATAAGTTATTCTAAAACGGTAGTTCTTCTTGTTTTAGTTTGATCAAGTAATTGCTGTTTTACATCTCTAGGGCGTCACCTGTTCAAAACAAATTTTTTGACCTTGGAAAAATTACCATCGAATTGGCTAATATTTTTGATACAAGTCAAAATGTATTGGCAAGAATACTTAAGCGCTGCTGCTATATTTTTTCTAAAATTCTTACTTAATTATTTCAAATTGCTATATATTCCTATAATGGGTTGCAATATAAGACAGAACCCTACAGGTTTCAGATTAGATAATTTCATTGTCACGCGGAAGCCTAATTCATATTACGAATGATATACATTCATCCAGAATAAAACAAAACAATAATACCAAAAAACACATGACAAAATATGCAATAACGCATCTTAAAATAGGCATATTCATGTTTGGATTACTCATAATAAATAACGGTTAAAAGGGTCTGAAAATCTGAATATACTGTAGATAATTTTATACGTAATCGCTTTATACGTAATCGCTTTCTCATATATATAATACTATTCAAATCATATTATATTCCAAAGTACATTTATTAGATGTTACGTAATCTCAAGTCAGGACGTTGAATTTGATAATCTTTTTGGATATGTAAATTAAAACTCAAAACTCAAAATATTTTACTCAAAAATTGACTCAAATTAAATGTAAATAACGAGGATAGTAAGCATGGAATCATTGAAATAATCTCACTTGTGAGGAAATCCAACTGCATTTTTGTGAGGTTCCCACGAGATTAACAAACTGGAGTTGCAAGTGTATTTCTGAATATGGGTAATTGTTGGAGTCCCCTCAACTGATAAAATAATGTAGTTTGTTAGTGGACGTAGTGGTAGTGGAAGATGCACTTTTTGAATAAAAATTCAAAGTGAATAAAAGCCCAATGTTTGAAGGTTAATTATCATCAACAATATGTTCTGTAGATATAGAATATATAGGAAACGGGATAAGATCTTCTTTCGTAGTCTTTGTCATTGCACACAAAGTTGACCTATGGCAGGAGTTCCCAAGCTTTTTCCAGGACGACCCCAAAGACAACTTTTAAGTGTCCAGTGCGATCCCAGGTCAATATATATATATATCTATTTTGTGAAACGAGCTTCTTTCACCGGACTTTTGAGTTTGGTCATGTGGTGGTATTAAGTAAAATAAGCTAAAACCAAAGAGGAGTCAGAACATAAGATCTTAATCAGCCAGTTTCAATAAAAAACGGAAGTAAACAGGACTATTTTAAAATAAAAGCTACCTTCATGTTTAAATGTATATTCTCCTTTTTTAACACCGTTTAACCACGACGAACAGTAATAGTCTACTGCATCTGATATATCTGCGTTTTGTAAATGTAATATTGCTGATCCAGATTTCTTTGTTTGATAAACACTCTTGTTAGGATCTGTTGGTATCAAGGATTTTGCATACCATTCAACATTATTACCCGGGTTACACTTGGTCTTAGCACAAGTTCTCTGCGCTTTACTTGTTTTTTCTACTGTCAGGAAAGGACCTTGAAACTCTGTTGTAAACAAAATATTAATTGCATTGTAGACCAAAATAGATTCCATTGAATTTATACCACGTGCCTGACGACCATATATAAATATCTCAAAAATACTAAAATGACTATTGTATAATATTGACCGGGGACCGGAGATCATAGGCCAAAATCAGATGCAAAAGGATATAAGCGGGCCGTGGAATAACTAACTGATAACTAAAATACCGCGATATGTAATCCTAATACCGGTACATATACTTAAGATATCGGTATAAGTGAATTGTTACGAATATGCACGAGCCCAAACCTAATGACATAACAATTGGCTGTATCTTGAACGATTGAACGAAAAAAGAGTGAAAACGTGACCAAAATAAAACCGTTAAACTGTTTCACTTAAGTTCGGCGCAATTGGCCCGCGGGCCGCGGTTCGGGAACCACCGCTCTAGTACATCAAGTACGTACTGGTTGTTGTCAATGTATTGTGATTTGATCCTAAACATAAATCATCGTGTATATCAATTATCGGAGAACTGTACTTTTTGTAGGATACTTAGGTGTTTTTGTATAACGGAACTACGATATTTGATTTATTTTATTACTTTTTTGGCAAATATAATTGATTTTTTCCTTGCACGTATAGTCTACCCAAGAGTTTCCATAGAAACCAACAATCAAACAATCCTCATTTCCCTCTCCACCACTGTTTGGTTCTACAGAGCCCCTGCATTAAAAAAGAAGAAGAGATAAACAGGCTGTAGCGAGTGTAGAAAAATAGATACAGTGTATTTCAATTAATTCAATCACTTAGTGTTAGTTTTTCTAAACAAGGTCATTACCCGATTTAAAAGTAGGTACTGTAACAAATTTTCAATTAGTCACTTTGAAACTATCGACTATGACCGAAATTATCTTTAACGGTAAAACTCAATATTCGATGCAATACCGGTAATTTTCCACAGGTATAAAACGATGATTTTATAAAACTCATGGGCAAAGTATGGCCCGCGCGCCATATCCGGCCCGTTGGGTAATCCAATCTGGCCCGCCTGATGCTGTCACAACCAAACTGATATCAAATTTTGATGTTTTATCTAAAAATAGCTCGCTCAAGGAATTTGTTGATATTACGGTTGAGTTTAGTTTTGGCACAAGACATATTGTATACCACCTTTGCTTTGTAACACTGTAAATATTGTTCATAAAATGTTACATTTAACGTCACACTTACATGGCTCGCCAGTCTAGGTGGGCTAAATATTTGGCCCCTGATTCAAAAAACTTCCCATCCCTGTTTTATAGTCAGAATTGGTGAATTAAACCATCGATGTTTTTAACGTTAACGGGGTCAATTGATCATACTTTACAAGATATTTGACCTAAATTACAGTGCCGATGATATAAACAACAACCGCGCGCACCTCAAATTTCTCCTATCAAAAAAAAATAGTTTCTAAACGGTCAAAGCAAGACATTTTTTTCGAAAAACTATGGAGTTTATCCAATAAAACGGAGAAAATCCAAGCCCGTTTAAATACAATACTTAAGCCAAAATAAATTAGATAGATACATAAATAGACAGTAAAAGGGGACAATGGTATGATGTTTATTATCCGGAAAACTCCTATTTATGGTATGATTGTTTAATTTTGTAATTATCGTTGTTGATTGCAGTTGTATGTTTATTAAACTGAGCAATAAAATATTAAAATGTGCAGTAAATGGTTTCATCTCTTATATATAATTAAAAGGCAATCCCAATTGAACACGCATAACTTCGGATTAGTATATAGTTTTATATCGTAGTCTATTTTTAGGAGTCTAGTATAAATAACTTAAGTAGTAAACTATTTAGAAACAACTAACAAATTATTCAACAGCAACGAAGACGTAACATATCAGAACGCAGCAGAAATTTTATGTTACAGTACTCATCTACCCACACAAGACAACTTAATGGAGAATTTTTGCATTTAGTTATAATAAGGTTGCCACTAAGTTGCTGGGGTTTATTTATAGATGTTGCCATCAATTTGGGCTCCATTCGTTTTATTTGTCATGGAAGCTCAAAAATATTCAAAAATCCATTGATAGCTAACCAGTTTTGATATCCTTCTTCTCCTCTCATTATTACGTCAGTTTCGTCCTGCCATTTCCAGTCCCCTTCTTTAGCTATGTCGTTCCCTCCAATGAAAAAAGGCTTTCTGATTTGACTGTTTTTGAATGAGTCGAAAATAAAAATACTTATTACAAGAAAAATAAGTGTAAACGAAATCCAACCAAATCTAGCTTGGCATATGATTTGAATTACTTTGTGCACGTGAACAAGACACGAGGTTAGATTGATGGACACGAAGATTGCGTAAAGGTACCTGCAACTGAAAAAGTTTGCTGATTAATTGGATATATCTGCATAAATTAGTGCAATTTATTTTCTATCAATATTGTTGTTGCTAATGTTAGGTAATAACTTTATTCCGGGTACTGTCTGTGTAAGCTAAGTGAATACCCCCCACTGCCCATAGGTTTCAGTCCCTTAAAACAACTTGATGTAAAGTAGGCAAACAAAATTAGTTACCCACATATCGGTACACTTACTTCTTAAGCGCATCTCAATCCAAGGTTGCAATGAAATGGGTGAATCATAGGCTTATTCCCATTTAAAAAAAAAAAAATTAAATGAATGTTAACAGAAAGGCAAATCTGAAGTCATATGTTCATACAAACGTAGAATGCAACTCACTCAAGTACAGGCTTTATCGCGTCGGTTATATTTTGATTATCAACTTTGACGAGATAACTTTCCTGAGATTCACAAGATGATTTTGCTTCAGTGTAGTTTTTATTTTCATTGGAAAACAGCAGAAGTTCAAATCCATCAACACATTTGACGACTTGCAAAATTACAATAGACAATATATGTAGAAATTGTCGTACAAGAATCAAAATAACAAATAACCTTTTTCAAGTTTATTAAATCTGGTTTTTGTTTGATTATAATATTTATTTTTTTGCCTTGCTATGGTAGTTGGATTATAGCTGTCCTATTGAGACTTACTTAGGTAAAACGGAACCTCCCAGTGAAGTCCATGGTTTGTGCAGGACTTTATAATCATTTTGTAGAATTAATTTTGAGTTATGAGTTCAAAACTATAGATCATCTTATCTCTTATTGCTAAGGGAAGCATATCAAACATAATTTTTAGGTTTTTCGATGATGATTGTGATCAAACCATTCATTGCAACGACTGTGTTTAGCTAAAAAAAAATTATATCACAAGCACGAACATGTTATTTACTATGAGTTATTTAGTGACGTTATTCGAACAGAAAAAAATGACTATTGGAAAGTTACTCATACTAATCACGATATCGCGATCATAGTGAAAAAAAAATTGGTTGTGATATTTGCAAATAGCAGCAGTATAAACATTTATAGTTTTATAGTAAAACAAATATGAATTGTGATAAAACTTGATTTTGATTCTACAACTCGATATCAAAATATGAACTTGACCCAACACATAGTTTAGATTTTGATTATAGTTTCTGATATTAACCGAACAAATGTTTTGTGCGGCGGATCATCCGTTGGAATAATCAGTATTTTTAAACTGACCCATAAAATTTTCCATCAAGTAGTGGAGGTATACCAAAGTTATCAGCGTCACAAACATTAATTAAAATAGGACACGTACCTTGACCTGAAGAAATATGCGTGATTGCAAAAAGCAACGTTGCCCAAGCTCCTAAATTCATCATGTATTCCCACAAAATGTTTTTATCTCAAATAATCATAGCAGAAACATAAGAACGCCAATCTACAACAACTTAATAATGCATTTTAGCATAGGACAAAATAGATATGTTTTTTATTAATAAAATAGGATAGAAGTCCATATAATGCTCACTGCTGTGATCAACTCCGTTATTTTGTCAAAGGTAGCTGAATATGTGAAAAAAATACATTTAGTTGGGAAAACTCATAGTTGCCACGGACAACTAAAATCAAAGATTGAACAGCGATTATAAATTGTTTTCAAAATACTTGGAGGGAACTCATTAGACTGTTTTAGCTGACAGGAAAATCACTACACCAAAATTTAAAACTGTTTTCCGTCTAATCTAACTACATCTTCATAGCAAAGTAATAACCGCACAGCGAGATTTGTGCTAGATTTATCTATGCCATTCTAAAATCTCAATTAGGAGTCTAACCTCTCATCAGTATCACTAAGGAAAGCATCAGAAATGCCCTCTCACTACGTGTGGTAATACTCCAACTGTGAATACTTTTCTAAAATAATTCCTTAGGCCCAGCAAAACAAAATTGAGAAAAACTGAGGAATCTGAATCCAAATTTCTGATTAATTTAGTGACCATATTCTGACCTTCCATTTGCCTTATTATTTGTAGTTCTAAATCTGAGTTAAATTCTCTTATTTCCACCTATTCACATATAGTTCCCTCTCTGGGTTATATATGTCATTAAAAGGACAGAATATATTAGCTAGTACATCAGGAAATGCGTATACGCTATTGTCGCTCATTTTTATTCCAAATCAAACCATCATTAAAATCGAATCAAGCATGAACAAATAAAAATTGAGTAGTGTCAACAGATCAGAACAACAATTTCCGTCTGGATAACGCGGATTGATAGTCAGGTAAAAAGTATGCGTCATCAATTCGTGTTGAAATGGTATAACGTTGGCCTGACGCAAGAGAAAGTCTTAGTTGCAATGTGACTCATATTTTCTGAGATTGCCAGAACCAAAGGACATATAAATTATCATACATCTACTCAAGTAACACGTTTCAAATACTAGAAGTGACGTGACTTAAATTGAGGTTTCATGACTTGGTTTAACGCAATCGAGAGTGGCAAAGTGCCTTAATTAGGGTATGCTATTGGTATCCCTTTATAATCACTCCCTATCAGAACGTAGCCACCGTTTTAGTGAATGAAAACGTTCGTTTTTTAATACTATGATTTATACCTCCTGGTCTTCCAGTGCAAGATCCACTTGAATCGATTGATTGACTCGCTCCGGCACAATTGAATATTTTTATTGAAGTGGAATAATTGCGATTTGGTTCTAGTTGAAATGAATGCGACAGTGACAATGTTACATTGAACAGTCTTTTACTTGACTGCTTATTAGAAGCTGGAGATGCAGCCAGATCCGAGGTTAAGCTGACCCCTGTCGTGAAAAGAAAATATACTCTTACAGACAGTGATGTAACTTCTGATGCTTACCTTTCGAACAACTCGTAGGTAAAATACTTTAATTTATTTGCTTCGTGTTAAGTATATAAATTATTAAAATATTTAAATAAAAGAACTATCTTGAAGACCATCTACAAACATTTTAGGTTAATGTGGTTCGGTATTATTTTCAATGATTTAAATTTTGATAGAAATCAACTCATGTGACTGAGTCTTTGTAAGTTTTACAATGAATCGCTCTGTTACAGTGAAATCATTTTACATAGAAAATATTTCATCTTCATTTTAAATTAAGAAAAAATGAGTAACGATATATATTTACCACGGAAATGTGTTACCAATCTCAGCATTGTTTGGAAACGACCAGGCAATGACACAAGTTTGATTCTTTTCATACTGTATAATAGTCGAAGATACCGCAGATAAAGTTGCTCCCCCTGTTGCTGCTCTTCGGGTGGTGGAATATTTGATTATCTTTTGTCATACATGCAGTTATCTGACAAAAGAAATATATACAAACATTATGCCGAAAAACAGAGTAACTTCGTATGAATGTGTGTATCATAGTTATCTTGTAAAAAAGGATGCTAATTGCAAACAAAAAAGTAACGATATATTACGAAACCATAACCTACTTTGATTTGATAGCTTGTGACAGGCGACAGACTGGTGATTTGTGTTGACTGTTTCCCAGATGTTGGTGAATCCAGCCATATTGTTGATTAATCTCGGGAAGGACCTAATTCTATTCTAAAAACAAAAGTGTGTTTAAAGGTGTTATTACCAACCAAAGTAGTTATTTAGCGTTGCTTCATACATTTTTAAGCGCCGATAACTTGTCTATAACCTTGTTTGGATCGAAAATATATATATAATAACATTAATTGCCTGCCTAAATAATACGAAAAATAAACTCACTTGTGAGGGAATGCCACAGCATTTTATGTGGTTGCCATGAGATGAGCAAGTTAAAGTTGCAGATGTTATTCGATATTTGATGGATTGTGGGATTTCCAGCGACTGCAAAGTGAATAAAGAAAAATTAACAAACAGAGAGAATATTGAATGAGATTGTTATATGGAGCGAAGTGTATAAATGAATCGCTTTGTAAATTGTTGTTGTCGGGGTGATTGTTGGTGATAGAAAAACATTCGTTTCCTTTTCAACTAATCGACCAATTGATTTCAAGTTTTCGTACTTAAAGTAGATTGAAACATCAGTGGATTATTACTTTAATTATTCTAAAATTAGTTTCGAGTTATAGGGAAAACAATAATAACTCACCCAAAATTTTGGTGGTTTAAATCATTTTGTGTAAGTGTTGTTGCTTGATGACCCTCTAAGAACACGAATAACGCTGAAAATACATAGATTTTCTAAATTGGGTTGGCAATGTCGAACCGGAAATATTCACACCCAACTAATTATCCTGCAGAACTTCTTACAGAAGTCAATTGTTTATTAAAGACAAGTAAATGATTTACCAACTAAATACTGAAATGCTTAATTTTCTATCTCCTCCATTTCGCTTTCCCACTAACATTCCAGCAAACCGCGTTACCGCAGGTAACCTCACCATATCGGCAACAATACGCGATATTCGTGATTATATACTATTACCTATATTCACCTCCATATGATTCTGTTTCCCCATGTTTCCAATTGTTGCCATTTCGAAAACAACAACCATAAGATCCTTCATAAGCAATATTTGCGTTTAAAAATTTAATGTTACTGATCGAGTCTGTATCGTTTGATAAACTATACTTGTAGTTGCGTTTGATACTTTGTTGGATGCTTTGCGCCATTCAACTTGTGTTGCAGTGCTGCAGTCTGTCGCATAACACCTTCTCTTGTTTCCGTTGATGCTTTGTATTCCAATAAAAACACCTTGAAATACCGTTTAAAGAACAATATGTATAAAGTTAGCAAGGCAGGAATAATACAGAATTAAAAAGCATGGTTAATGAATTGATGAATGAAAGCCAGACACTCGACGTTAAAATCACGATTATTACATTTTTACAGAATTGCTAGATTAGTAAGTTTAGTACAATGTTATTTGTAACACGCCTTATATTAAAAAATGTAATTGAAAACAAAGAACCGAGTATTTTTTTTTTATTGCCACATTGAACAATTACTGGCACAACAAAATCATAGGAAACGAATACAGGAATTCTAGTGCTGCTTAGTTATCAACTAGCTTGCGTTGGTATTCCTAACAGCCCCTTATCCCCCCTTGCCCCCTGATGGCTTTAATTGATATGTAGTTCTTGATTCATATTCGGGCTCGTAATGGCTCTTATGTGTATGTGTGGTATAATCTAGTAACGACACGCCGAACCATGACATATCGTTTATTCTTGTTAGCTTTATCAACCACGTATAGCGTGATGTAGCGTATAGCAAAATATAGATTATAATATAAAATCGACTCGAGTAATTGGACTTCAAAGAATTGGACTTCAAAGAAGCATCAAGATTTTGTGCTGTATTTCTGATTCCAGTTTACATGTTGAAAGCAATTGAGTTGATTAAGCAGGGGTTCTCAAACTTTTGGTGTTGCGGAGCCCTTGAAAATGTTGACTATTATTCACGGAGCCCCAAAATAAGTGTTAAAATTGTTACTTTCAGATTAATATTTCTGAGCAAGTCAAAAGTACTGTACTCAATTTTAATGCTGAACCTTTTTTAATAGGGTTTATACGAGTCATAAATAAATCTAAATTTCAAACCTAAATATATATACTAAAGCTGTAAATTTGACACTTGACAAATATAGTAATAAATTAGGGGTCGAATCTTTTGACATATTTGGAAGACTTAAAAGACCGCTAATAATGTGCGCGAGTGCATTTCGTTCCAATCGCCGATTTTTTTCTCAGCATGGCGTGTTTTTGAACCTTTAAACATTTTTACGCCGGTGTTTATTCTCCCTAAATCAAACATTTTCCCTCGGCATATACATGTATTGTTACACAATGACAACGTTAATTGCTTTTTTGTTCTCGTGGAGAAATATGAGTTCAATGTGAAAAATATGTTACCATATTATAGTCATCGGTGACAAAATGCTAAAAATAATAATTAATTAAGAGGTAAATCCGCAACTCAAATTTCTTGATTAAAAATCTGCATTCTAAAATATTAAAACTAAAACTTAAAAAGGGAGATCACACGTTTGACATTGTAAATCAAAAAAATTTGGTGTTATGTTAGGTTTTCATCGTAGTAACTGCGAAATCGAAACACAGTCAATGGTGCGCGCGATGTACCTTTCTTTCATTCTAAAACTACCGACGGAGCCGAATGCAATAAAATAACTTTCAATTGTCCGTTTTTTGCCCAGACATTGTGATTTTTTGAACGGCGATATCTTGCTCAAAAATAATCTCAAGTGCGAAAGAACAAATCAAGTTTGACAAATCCCAAGATCGCAAAAATACGACTCCAATCTATTTATAGTTGGCAGTTTATCACATATTTTATGTTATTTAAGAATAGTATTCTTACATTTTAGTAATTCTAATAGTAATCTCGAATTAAACGTGACTAACGATGAACACAATTTTATTACACGACAAGACACGTTAAATGCTCGCATCGGTCATGGATTGTATATTTTGAGCAACAGAAATCTCGTTATCCGTTTTTTAATCGCGAAGAATATTGCGCGGAACCACCTCCCTCTCAAGAATCCAGGCTGCGCTCCTGCTTATGAATAATGTCATTTTTCAATTCCACCTCTTTGCCATATTTCGAGGATATATTGTTGTCAAATTTTATCAAAGCTGTTATTACTTATCGATTTTAACCGGCAAGTATGTTGATAGGTATTTGTCTGTCTGTCTGTTTGTTTGTCTGTTTGTCTGTTAGATGCACGCGATATCTCACGAAAGCGAGATTGAATCTGCTCCAGATTTTGCATGTGCATTCATCATATGTCGTACCAGAAGCCTATTGATTTTGGATGAATTATGTAGTATAATTAGCGAGTTATTATTTGATTAGTGATTGGACACAAGGTGTCAGTATAGAGTAAGAGCGCTGTTTTGGGGGATCCCCTAACTTTCGATCGATAAGTCCTCGGTCTCTGACCGATATTCTCGTTGCTTCTTTGAACAGTTACAAAATTAGTCAGTATTTTGAAAAGTAATCGAATAGCTCGCGGAGCCTCTGGGTTTCTCTCGCGGAGCCCTGGGGCTCCGTACGGAGCACTTTGAGAACCTATGGATTAATACACAATCGGAGGTTCATGTCAGAGCTCTGAAGTTGAAAAATATTTCTAATTGACATTTTTTTAAATAATTTTTTAGACAATATGTTTCTAGTCGATATATCTAATTTCTAGTCCACAAGCTAGTGCGCCCTTTAGTTCCAACTAGTCACATAGACATGCAAGCAGTCACATATGCATTTGGTCATCTACCGAATTGTTCAATTATCGAGTCGTTCGACTACCGATCCGAGGTTATTAATATTATTATTATTATTTTAATGATGCCTATAACTGACTTAGTTTTGTGCACCAGGACTATGATATTACGCGTTTGGTGTTCAAATGCTTCGACCCGTTATGAGGACGTATTCTATGACAAAAAATATAATTCTGGAATTTTTAGTAAATTGATAATATTTACGGGACATATATTCAGTCCTTCGAAATAATTAATTAAAAATGATTTTGAGACGTCATAGCTGGGACAATGTAATATTAAATGTTCGACGGTTTCGTTTTCCAAGCAAGTGTCGCAAAGTCCATCGTCGTGGAGTCCAATTTTATTGGAGATGATAGTTCAAACGACAGTGGCCTATTTGTAGTCTGAACAAGATGATTTCATATCTTCTAGATAATTTACACAAAATATGTTAATAAATGAAGTCTATTAAAATGCAGTTTTTCGCCGATTTTGTTTTTTTGAGTACGCACTTCTCCCAGAATGACATTGTTTCGGAACGACCTTCAGCAAGCATGATATTTTAAAACGGAAACTTTATGCAAATTTAGTTTTGCAAGACCGAACCTTTGTAGAATGTAGTGTTGTTGGTATGGGCTACTGCAAAATTGTAGTACTACAATGAGCTGATATAAGTGCAAACCATCTTTAATTGTCGTTGCACGGGAACAATTTTTTCGTGAGAATAGTTTTGCTAGTACTGTCTTTTGTAACAGTTATGTGTAGGAATGGATGAGTGGTTCCAATATCAAGTTAAACAGTCTCCTGCGTTACTATAGGATAAAACAAAGATAGCAGGCTGAGAATACAGCTTTCACGACTACCGATTTTTTGATGAATATACTGTTTTCTGTATCTAGCCATTGCTTGCTTCATTCATTGCCCAAAACGCCGCTGAAGATACTGCATTCGGCATTGAGTATATATCATCAGACCAAGGTTTTTTATTACATATTGCCCAGTTGCACACGTGAATTAAACTCCGCATTCTTGTTTCCTTGTGATAAATGCTTTCTAAAAAGAGGCTGTTGGCAAAAAATTAGTTTAAAGCGTAGACAATTTCGTGCTCGGTAAAATTATTTTACAAATATGATAGGCAAATATGCTTGGCGTTACATTATTTTCTTTATGGGGATATCGAAAACTGGCAGGTGTATCTTATGCATAAAAAATTTCCATAAACGCAAATGTTCTTTCCATTTGCAACTAAACAATGATGGAATTTCATAAACATTATTCAGAACAATTGGGTATTCTAACTATTTTGGGCAACAACGGAAAAACGTATGTAGGAAGAATGAAAGACAATTTCCCCTCTCTTATGAATCAGTATTGTTTGTATTGTGAGTCATAGAACGACGCATTTGATAAAGATAGCACGTGAAATTTGCAACGTGTTTCAAAGTGTAGGCTGGTGCTAACGTGAACCTAAGTTTATCCACAACCAGTCAACAACTAAAAGTAGTAAGCAGTCATATTTTCAACTATTAAATCAAAGTCAAATTTCCACTTCATGGAATTACTTTTCACCGAGTTTTATTTCGATAGACAATATTTTCACAAGTTTCATGTCAACCGACACTAATATATCCGTAGCACCAGTCGTTTTTACATATGGCTTTCTGAATGTCGTTTAAATTTTATTCTAAGTTTTTGTGTTTTGGTGTTGAAAAAATCGCTTTTTCTCTAAATAATGAAAATCTTATCGATTTTCTAATTTCCAGTGGAAACATTTTCTGGAAGACTATCGTTTCTATTTTCGTTTTTATTTTTATCCTATATGATATTTCACCCACAATTTTCTGTTTAAATTAAGAACAAATTTTTTAATGTATAAAAGACTGTAAATGGTTTATTCCGCCTCGCTTATTCGCCGACCTTTTCAACTAACTTGCTGCTCAGTTTAGCTTAGGTGGTGTTTGTTATTCAAATTATATTATGTATCTTTGCAAAGACGCAGAGTGCTGAATATCGAAATATGAACGCATATTTTCGATTTTCTTTCATGTATTTTTCTGCCTGATGTCGGGAAGTGGTGGTGCGAAAAAAACAAAATTATATATGATTCGATCGCTTCATGTCGTATAATTCAAAATGCTAGCAATAATCACAATAATTTGAATCCAACTTCCGCATTGGGTACAGAGGTCACCACCGCAGAACCTCCAGTATATAAAATATTTTCGTATATTAGTGGAATAACAATACCTGG